TATATCTTTATGTTTGAAGCCTGAAATGTGGCAAAAGGTTGAAAAGTTCAAGGGGGCCAAATACTTTCGCAAGGCACTGTAATTAACCAATCATTTACAGTAAAAACATTATTGCTCATTTACAGACATCACAACAGTCATCACCATGAGACTGGCTCAGTGGAAGCACTGAGCAGTCCGGACCAGACACAGAGGCTTGGCTCAACTCTGTTTCTCAAATTTAGGTTCAAGGTCACAAGTTTCACTGGAACAAGTCAGACAGGTCCTCCTAGAACAGATTCATTTTCACGATACACCCCCACAAAAAGGACAGATAGTCATATCGCTCTCTGTCTTTATCTTTTACCCTCTCCTCTCTCCTCGCTGTGCTTCATGATTCCATCTGCCCCTCTGCCCCTTGAAACAGCACCCTCAGCCTGTCTCTCTGGTCCCTGTCAGGGCAGCACTCACTCCCAGCAAGCACTTCGATTCCTCTCACCATGGCGACCGCAGGCAAGCACAGCGAAGAGGGAAGAGGGAAGAGGGGCAGGAGGCAGAGAGAGACAGGCAGGGAGGAACAGAAAGACAGGCAGGGAGAAACAGAAAGACAGACAGGGAGGAACAGAAAGACAGGAAGGGAGGAACAGAGAGGGGCAGGACTGAGAGAGAGACAGGCAGGAGGAACAGGAGACTAAGAGAGAAACAGGCAGAGGAACAGAGAGGGGTGAGAGACTGAGAGAGAGACAGGCAGGCAGGAACAGAGAGGGGCGGGAGACTGAGAGAGAGAGACAGGCAGGCAGGAACAGAGAGAGAGACAGAATACATTGATTTAATGATGTCGTACACTTTGCCCCCTATGCCACTTTGGAGTAGTTTATAAAACAAGCTTTCATGCCAAATCGAGTCAAATGCTTTTTTGAAATCGACAAAGCAGGCAAAACTTTTTCTTTTGTCTTTCTGGTGGACGTGTTTGTCTATCAGTGTGCGTAGGGTGTAAATGTGATCAGATGTGCGGTGATCTGGTAAGAAGCCAATCTGACTCTTGCTCAGGACATTGTGTTCGGTAAGGAAGGCCAGTAATCGTGTGTTCAGGACACTGCAGAATACCTTCAAGGGGGAGGTACAGAGAGAGAGAGACAGGCAGAGGAACACCATAAAAAAAAACTATAATATAAGAGTAAATTTGGTTACACCGGATGTAAATCTCATGCTTCGTGAATTAGCTTTGAAGTCAAAATTAAAAGAATCAAATCTAAGCACATTCAAATGCTGTTCTGAATAGCGTGGGTGAAAATACCAGAAAAGCACTCCGTGAACTTTCGAATCCAAAACAAAGACAACCGCACGAAACAGATAAGCGTCTCAGACGCTGCGAGATAGGAGAACACAACAAACACACTCTTAAAAAAATCCGAACAGAAATCGAGGAGGAGTTAAAACTGTTTCTGGAATTTAAAGTGAAGTACTGTGCTTTAAATAAATCAAAGAACTGACAATGGAAGAGTATCAGAAACACATTTAGAATTTTTTTTTTAACAGAGTTTGTTTTCCCAAATCCAGGAGCACGACACCCACAACGTTATGAAAAATGAGCCAAACTGTTTGGGGACGCACTGTAGTAACAGCGAACCTACCGCAACAAGTTGCCAAATACTACTCTGTTATAAATACCGTCAATTCCCTGGGGGTCAACTGCAACGACTTTCGGATTTAGCACGCAGCCGCGTAGTACATTGCGGACTAGCTAATACGGTACTGTCTAGGGATCACCTACAGCCCAGTAAGTTAATATTGTAACGCATATGGCCGTCAGTGGTGTGTAAGAGCCGGCTTACCAGAGCGGTGACGTCACCGCCCTTCCCTGTAATAGCAGGACTACAGCCACTGGGCAATTTCCTGTTAGTTTTTAATTTAAGAACGGCATTTAAAATATACCAGATACTGTAACCACGAATGCCCTACTCAACTGCAATTAGTCAGGAAAACACACCAGAACAGCAGCCGCGAGTCTGAGTTTGAACATGTATTGTAGCCCGTTTTATTTCCATTGATACGATACGGATTCATACGGAGATCATTCCGTCGAAGACGACAGCACATCGCTCTTTCGGTTTTAGGTATAGACCACATCTGTGTGTAAAAATGCACGTTTTATGCCGTTGCAGGAGCTACATTTGTTGCGCTTAGTCTCAGAGTGTTTTTGATATACGTGAGTTCTAAGTATGTTGAACACTGAGTGACAAAAGGCCTGTACTGTAAGATTCCTTACAGCGGAGTTGGCAAATCGTTACAAAAAAAGGCACCAGCTCATTGTTACACCGCGGAAAACCAGGGACTGAGGCGGACAGATTTCACAGACGGCCGCTCATTATTGGGCATAGAGCCCGCCAAGGCACCCAGGTGCCG